GCCATTTTATTTTGAGTGTGTTTGCCACCCGACTCCGCCCGGTGACGTCATCATGTGCGCTATAGAAGGAGGTCTGTGATTCGTTGACTGAAATCGTCGATAGTGGGTCTCATTGAAATCTCGTTACATAGGCGTCGGATCAGATGTAGGTAGGGCGGAATTAAAAAAAAAATCACAAAATCAAAATCAAAGTAAAATAATAAAATAAAAGGGCATTAATAACAAAAGTAATAAAAAATAAAATTAAAATAACACTACATCAGATTTTAATCAGATTGGCCCCTTCTATTCGGCACGTGTTTTAGAAAGATTGATGTTTTTTCATTTATTGGATAGCTTAAACCTAGTTGTAGTTGGTGGATTGGTTTATTGTGCTTGTTTTATTATATTATATACAGTATACGTATATTTAGGCATTCACTTTTTCTGTTCAAAATAAAGATGGCCTCTCACCAACTCATTGCCATTCAAATTTTCATGTCATTATTTTTGTTTTCAAGCATATATTTGGAATGTTATTTACAATTCTGGTGACATGTCTCTAAGAATAATATCCTGCAGTATCAATTCTTTAGCACTGCCAGGAATTGAGTAGGGAGACTTTTTTTTGTGCCATTTTTTTTTTAGCTCCGCTGTCGACTTTGTCGAGCGGAGCTTATCATATGAGTGATTGTCCGTCGGCGTCCGTCGGCGTCGTCGTCCGTGTCAATGTTTTACTTTTTCGACTTCTTCTTGAAAACTACAAGCCTGAATGCTTTGATACTTGGTGTATATGTACCTTGGGTAGACCTCTCTTAGGTTTGTTCATTTCATGTTGATATCTTCAATTCTCTAATTTTGGTGAATATTTTTGTCATTTTTGGTAAAAAGTGATATTTTCGACTTCTTGTTAAAAACTGCAAGTGCAATTACTTTGATATTACATATATAGGTACTACATGTGGACCTCTCTCAGATTTGTTCATTTTGTAATGATATCTTTAATTCTCTAATTTTGGTGAATATTTTTGTAATTTTTGGTAAAAAGTGATATTTTCGACTTCTTGTTAAAAACCAAAAGTTCATTTGCTTTGATATTACATATATAGATACTACATGTAGACCTTTCTCAGATTTGTTCATTTCGTGATGATATCTTCAATTCTCTAATTTTGGTGAATATTTTTGTCATTTTTGGTAGAAAGTGATATTTTCGACTTCTTGTTAAAAACTGCAAGTCTGATACTATACATATTGTTCATTTTCTAATGATGTCTTCTGTTCTTTAATTGAAATGTGCATTGCTAACAGCGGAGCTATCTCAGCCGACAGGCTGCTTGTTTTTTTATGTACTTGAACTTACTTGATGCGTTGTCAGCGAGTTGGCCCCTTTTATAGTAAAAAAATAGCATTCAACTATAATATTTGTTTTTCATGTGAAAAGATGTGTACATTTACTTTTTGGTGATGTGGTTAGTTTTTCTCTCGGATGTTCGCATTTTGATAAATCACGGTAATATGTTCAGTTCTGTTTGCACTGCTTAAATTTGTATACACTCAGCTTTGTGGCTAATTGTCCAAGGTGTGAACGATTCATTTACCCACAACCAGTTCAGGGACAATAGACAGCCAAGCGTTTCCAGACAGAGGATAGAGGGACTGTGGTGAGATGTAATGTCTACCATTGGCGGCCATTTACTGAAACGCAACACACCTGCTTCTGATTTCAATTAGATTATGTGCAAGGATGATCTTCAAAACTAGCACTATTCTCACCCAGTGAGATTGCTTTTTGTGACTTGAAGTGTAATTGACAGGTTTCAAATCAAATTCGTGACAGGAAACAAAAAGACATGCATACATTATTGCCAAAGGCCACAACCAACAGTTGTCTAGATGGGAAGAACGAAAAAGTTTTCGAACAAAGTAAAGTATTTCTTGCATTTGCAAAAATTTAATGAAAAAGAAATCAAATATGGTAAAAAAAAGCACAAGATAAAATAAATGTGTATTTGCATATTGTTTTTTACAGAAGATTTAAAAGAATATTTTAAGAAATTTGGTCCAGTGGTAGACTGCACAATCAAGATAGATCCTGTCACAGGCAGGTCAAGAGGGTTTGGTTTTGTATTATTTGCTGATGGCGCCAGCGTTGAAAAGGTAATGTCATATATTTATTTTATTAGTCCTCTCTTTTAACCTAAAGTTTTCAGGACAATTGCATCATTTCTGACATAGCGATGATACATTTCTGACAAAACATTAGTATTGCTTTGATTTGTTGTCAGTCTATAATTTGAATAAGAAAATAGCGTGTTTATGAGATTTGTATTTTTAATAACAATCTACTTCACAACCAGTCTGCCCTCGAATATAGGCGATTTTGTAAGGATCCTTAGATCCTTAGTAAAAAATGGAATCATCCCCAAAATCAGGCTTGTTGACTGCCGAGGAAAGGTTTTCAAGAAAAAAATAAAGTTGTATGTGACTGTGTAGGTGACTCGAGACAAAAATAAAATGGAAATGTAATTTTACCAAATTACAAATCCAATAACTATAACAGTGTTGCACACAACTAGTTGCATCACAGCAAATCTTTGTACGTCAGTGGTGTGTCAAATCCGCTTACAGGGCACACTGTTCACAACTAAGTAATATTTGACAGAAATTACTGACGTCATTAGTTTTTGAGAGGTAGATTACATTTTAGACTCTAGATCCAGATTAATTTAAACCCTTCCAATGAGTGCAAGCAGTTGTCATTGAATTTTCAAAAACAGTTTAATATGACAAGAAATTGATGTGTAATATTTATCATGGATATATCCTATTGACGTAGATCAACCACTCATAGTGTTATTGCAAGTATTACGACATAATAAACAACCTTGGAGATCTAGTACAGGATACCTGCTCGTCAAACTACTCGTTTAAATCTAGGGAAATACTACTGTTAGTCGAAAATCCTTGCAGCGCTTCGCTTAGTCTTTGTGACTTTCCTAGCGCTGCAAGCTGCTGCTGATAAATTTGATTGGTTATTTTGTAACGTTTCAACATGGGCTGCCAGCGACCTTGAGACTTTGTGATTACAGGGAATTCCATGTATTTGGCTTTCATATCAGACATTGAATGAAACATCCCATAGCTCATATTTGGTATTATTAGCATCATATGTAAGTGAGGCATTGATGGTGTGAGATGTCGTGAGTGGAATACTGCAAAGACTTGTGCAACTATACTCAAAATCTAAGTTAATAAAACGTATGATATGCGTCATAAAGCATATTCTAAATTACACAGAATACACTTCGGTCTAAAGTTGCGAAAAATTATATGATCTGTATTGCTTCAAATTCATTATATTCCAAGTCATGTTTGGGCGTTTCTTAAATGCCGTAAACTGCTAGATGTGTGAAAGTAATGTTATTCATATATTTCAGGTTTTACAGCCACAAGAACATAAATTAGACGGTAGAATTATCGATCCTAAAAGGGCTAAAGCAAGGGGAGGTCAGCCTCCTATCACAAAAATATTTGTCGGAGGCTTAAATCCCGAATATCCAGAAAATGAACTCAGGGACTATTTTACTAAGTTTGGAGCAGTAAGTATGATTTTGTTCTTTATCAAGTTGTGTTGATGATTATTCTGAAATCTGATTCTCAACTACACATGTACACATAAATAATTCTGTCCTCTTATAAATAAAATGGCATTTTTCTCTATGCCTAATGAAATTTATATTCAAACTGAAAACAGAAGACTTTATTGTTGCAAGAAATGGCCTTCTCCTGATTTCTCTCATTGCTGTCTCTGGGTTTCAAAGATTTCCCTTGAATAGGATTGATTTGTCATTAAGCTCACTCAATCATATTCTGTAGCCAATGTTTTGTATTTGTTAATTGAAAAATTCTTATTGTCAATACATCTTGCTATATCATCTGGCATCTCTTGTTTTGTCATATTGATTTACATATATTAAAGGAAATATTTCAATTGACTGCTACTATGTTCCACCGTTTCAACTATAATCAATAATTTTCTCGGAAAATTCAGTGCTTTTGTGTTGTCATAATTGTGACTTTACATGTGAAAAGAAGTAATTTCAACTAATTTTATTCGCACAAGACAATTTGGATGCCAACTTTGTGTGCATGCATGCTTGTGTCTTCATCTGTGCGTGCGTGCATGCATGCATGCGCGTGTTATATCCGCCTGTGTCCGTTTTTCAGAATTGCATATCCAGCCTAAAATTATCTACTGTACCTAACCCATATTACATTTTAGAGTTGATCTTGTACCTTGCACAAACCAGAGATGACGCTAGTCTTGTTTCTAGATAAGAATGCAAAGTTGACCATGTTGCTTTTATGATACATGGGCTAAATATTAGATTTCTCAAACATACACGTCTAATAAATCTGATATTACACTGACACTTGTATGATTACATCTATTTTTTTTCCAATTTAACCCTTTAAAAATAAAACACCAGCTATTGATACATCGATTGTGAATCACACAATGACAGTTGTCAGAATGAAATCATATTCTTTTAGACCCTTGGCCAATTTCCTTTCCAGAAATGATATCTTAACATGTACCGTATTTGCTCTATTACAAGTGCATTCAAATAAGTGTACACAAACCAACAATTGTATTTAATGCTGCTTTATAAAAATAATGTATTGACTCGTCATTCACCAAAGGTACGAGTAGAGCAAATACGATAGGTGTTCATCAAGATTTGAAAAAGGCAAACTCTCCCACCTATTATGTAAGACTTGTTCTATCTTAATAGTGAAAAAAAATAGAATTTCAATATATTGTGTGGTTAAACAGATTTATTCATCCTTTCCAGAGTTCCCATTTGTCTAATCTGTTTTAGTGGAAATCCACACCATTATATCTATACAGTCCACTTGTCTTTCAATTCCGCCCTTTATACTCACTTACAACCTTATCAACCCCTGTCCACATGTGCACAGGGGGCAATCCTTCAAACATGTGTCAAGTAAATATCACTGCGACCATATACAGCGGTGTGATTTAATTTATTTGGAAGTTCTTTAAAAGAAATCCAACCGTATTTTGCTCTCAAGGTTGGAGTTGACTTGCGGGAGCCGCTGCCAATGAGAGTTTGGTATTAGTCAAGAGTGAAGCATCACAGAGGTATGGGGTGGTCAGTACAGAACCAATAAACTAACCCAAAAAAATAACAATATAATGTAATTTGATCCGTATATAATAAGTGGGGTAGTAGTGATATATATATATATTATAAAATGCTTTATTTTGCATGCACCTTCCCTTATACTCCAAGTCATCTGTTCAATGTGAAATGGTTTTTAATCCAAACTTGATTATAATCAGCTTTCTTTTGTTCCATATCACAGTTTTTGCACCAAGTTCATTCACTGACCAAAACATAAATCAGTAAAATTTCATGGCCATGCTCACAAATTTACTTTTTTTTTGTTTCTTATATATTTATTTTTATATAACATATAAAAATGCGTAAAGTATTGAAAGTTAATTAAAAATAATTAAGTGTAATTAATTAGTATCTTTGCTAGGTGACCATGTCCTTTGTGATAATGTAGATGTGCTTTTTTTATTGATTTTTAATTTTCATTTATTTAGGATTATTAACACATCATCCTGTTAACTGGTTCTCGGCGTCTCATGTTATCGGCAAGAACAAATTAAGTAACCCTTGATCTTGCCAGGGCAGTGCTGGGGCAATATCAGTGTAATTTTTTTTCAAAAGATCTGCCATCATGTCTTAAATTTATAAGATTTGATGACATTGTGACCTCTGAAATTTTCATTGTTATAAAATTTCATGGTTTTGACAAATAGTACTTGTTGTGTAAAGCCCCAGTTTTGTTTTCTTGCTTGTTGGACGAGATGCCGAGAAAGAACATAGTCAGTCAGTTGATAGTTATCCTTTTTTGACAGTTAATGGTCTGTTTTTTTATAGATCAAGGAGGTAGAACTTCCGATAGATAGAGCTACAAATAAAAGAAGAGGCTTCTGTTTTATAGAATTTGAAAAAGAAGATTCAGTCGAAGAAATATGTAAACAACAGTTCCATCTTCTAGGGAATAACAAAGTAAGTATTGATGTGGGAATTTGTCAACTATTGTTATGTACATTCACACTCGCTATTTTGATATAACCAGTTACTGTATAATACTTTATTTTTGCTTGGAATTTATTTGTTATTTTCGCTAAAGGGATGATATAGTAAAAGTAAAATCAAGCGAATATATCTTTTTTCCTCGGTGAAAAGAAAATTCATAAAAAACTCATTTTCGTCTTTTCATCAAAAATTAAATCCAGTTTAAAATAAAGTATTTTACAGTATAGCATTATAAATCCTGAACCATTACTTGAGGATGCTTAGAATGCTGTACTGTAAACTGTTTTTCTCTGCTGGACATTATCATGATTTGATTATTTTATGGCAGTGGGTGAAGGCAAAATTTCCTGAAAGTCACTGACCAACTTAAGAAGAAAACGCAAGGAGAAATTTTTACTGCTGCAAAATTTCAGGCTTTTCACTTCCTCAGAGATTGGCAAAAATTTGTGTTTCATGAAATTAAAGCATGCCCTTGGCTGGATTGATGCAAGTGTTCAGTCTAGTCGCAAGCTCTGAACAGTTTCATATCTAGTTGGACACAGCAATTCTTGGATCAATTCAAAGCATCTACACACGTTTTCTAGATATCTAGTTGGGTACAATGAATCTTCGATCGATTCAAAATGTTTGCACTCATTTTCTAGATGGATTCAGACCTGCGAGCGCCACTGGTGTTTACACTGACAATTTACTTTGTTTTTCCCCCCTGACAGTGCGAAGTTAAGAAAGCCACACCGAAAGACCAGAATACAAAACAAGCAGTGACGGCGGCTGTGATACCAGGTGCAAGTGCAGCAGCTGCAGCCGCAGCAGCCTATGCCGCTGGTACGGGTTTGGGAAGGGGAGGTACTTATGCCTGCTTTGCTCCTATCTTTATTAATGCTTGGCACATTTGTTTCCTAATGCTTGTCGTACCTCAAACACAAATACCATCCAATTATTGCACTGATGACCATACACATTATTCATATACCCATGATAACATACTTAACCAATCACATTGTATAGTGTGCAGTGTTCTGACCAGATTCTATTGAACTTGATTGATAAATGTTGTGATGACACTATGAAAAGTACTCCACATTTAAATAATACAATTTTTCTTGCCTGAAATTTGAGTTCATTTGGAAAACAAACCCCTCCTGGTTAGAACACTGTATGCAAGTAATCCCAAGGCATGCTACTACAAAATACAACTCTCTCCATTTACATCTTGAAAAAACTTCCTAATTTTTTTATACAATTGCTTGTGATTTAATTACAATGATCTCTTCATCACAAATAGACGTTTGCAAATGGCCGGATAGTTCTCGTCAAGAGTCACAAGACTAGTTTTTGTCCCTCCTTGTCTACCATCATGTTCACTGTTCTGCTGATGTATGTAACATGGTATTTTGCATAGGGTGCTATGGCTCTAACGTTAAAGCTTTGTAAAGCAGATAGAAGTCGCATTCCCTCGTTTTTTTGCATCCATTTGAGCTTTAAAGTTTCCATGCAGATTCGACTCTGTTTGTTACAAAATCTGTAACAGTAAACAATCAATAAAAATTGAGGGGAAAACGTGATTACATCAGCATTGAATGGTTTATTCTATTTTGTATCATGATTATAAAACAAAACTTGCAGTACTTGTGTATTGTCCTTATTTTGTTCAGTTAAGATAAAAAACTTCCATAACTGTTAAGTGAATGTATGTATTGTTCTCTTTCTACTTAATTCTTCTCCTATCTTGAATCAGTCACTATGTAATAGATAAAATAATGACCACTGCTATGTTTTAAATGCTGCTTGAATGACCCTTTGCTTTCAAGTTGTGATGCTATAATATGCAAGATTTATCACTGCCTTGGCTGTATGTCATAATGTTAATCTTGGGCAAGCAGGCATACAAAAAGAAGCTTTTTAGTTTCTTTGATATTTTTGTCAAGTTTTATAGCATAATCATCTCGTGTTTCTTACTTTGAGACTTTAAGTATGACAGCGTAAAAGCCATACAAACTAAAAAGTACAGAGACCCACAACTATACATCATAGGAAATAGACTGGTTTCTTTTGCGAGTCCTACGATCCAATTACGAGATAGTTTACTCCTTTTCCTGTGGCTTGTTTATCATTCTTCGAATAATAGTACTTTTATCAGCATGTTATCAAATGTGGTTGCTAAAGTTTATACCTCAAGCATTAGACATGTCTTTACAATTTTATCCATGAGTGTTTGATATCATTTACAATTTCAAGGATGGACATTACATCAAAGAAAATACTGCAGTTGTGGTTGTCCCTGCTCTTTCTAATGTCTCTGGAGCTACTGTATCACTTACTGTCGTAATTGAAACAAAAAAAGTCACATTTAAATTTGAACCAATATGCATAAAAACATATAATTTTGGTCCATTATTCAGTTGATTTTCTCTTTATCTATCCAAATTAGTTAATTATTTATATAAATATAACTCTGATTTCAGCTCATCCCACTATATATTTTGGTGAACATCATATCAGTTTCAGTTTGATGTAAAAACCAATAACAATAGGTTCACCTAAAAATTCTCTAACAAGTCTAGTGATATAGCAACTTTTTTTGGATTACAACATTTACATGAGGAGGAAGAACTAGGCTCTGAACCCTGAAGTTATTCTAGTTCTGTGTGCTTTGACGCAGCTTGCAAAGTATTTTGACAAGCTACCAACATGATCATCTTCAGGAGTCTTCTAAAGTGTGTCCTAACTTCCCTAAAAAAGTTTTGTTTCTAATTGCTGATTTTTATTTTCAGTTCCAAATGCATATCCAGCCTTCTATGCAGGTGAGTGAAATTTACACACTACTACTCTGTACAGTCACAGTGACTTATTCCTGATTCTGGAATAAACCAGGCTCTATACTTTAATGTACCTGTGGGGTTGAGTGTATGACCTCTCTCCTTTAAAAAGGATAGAGAGCATCCAGTTCCAACATTTAAAAAAAAAATGTCTTGCACTGCTTGAAATGTGAAGGAAATATTTGATTATTTTTAAGGCTGGGTTTCAGTCTTAAAATGAACTGAGGACATTTTGTCCATAATGGTAAACTAGCATCAGGAGATATTTATATTTATTTGCCATATTTTGGATGTAAATTTAGATCCTTTGCTAGGAATGATTGCTAGTTTTCTCCAGTTTGATGTTAGTGCTCTTAAATGCTCCACTAGTTGTGTGATGAATGGTACTTTTTCACTAAAAACGCATACCAGGTGTTTGTGTAGACACATGTGGTATTGCCGATCCTGGCTCAAATTTTATGTTGCAGTCTGACTTGAATGGGGTACTTTGTTTTCAGCTCCCACGAGTATAGCTGGACTAAGTCCAGGTTATTCAACGTACTCGTATGGTGGCTACTCTGCACCTATGTCGCCATATGCAGCAGCAGGATATCCACCTGGATTTGCCGCAGCGGTACCACCAGGGGCAGCAGCACAACCTGCACCGACTTCTATCCAAGCTGCAGCATCTGCGTATGTAGGAGCAGCTTCCCCAGCAGCACCTTTGCCAGCTGGATACCCAGGCGCACCAGCGCCGTCACCATACACATATCCTGGATACGAATATGCGTTACGAGACCCGTATGGAGTGGGATTCGCGACAGGTGAGTTCAGTGTTTACTAACAAACAAAGTTAAAATCTGGTTTGCTACTCATCATGTGTTAGCATTACAGAAGTAAAGAGACAAAGTCATCTTTGTCGTCCCTCATCTTGATAGTGATTGATTATGTCTGTTTTGTGAATTACTCAGTCCTGTCTTTCTGAACTTTGAGTGTCTTTTGAGTATTCCTGTATAGGAAAGCAGCATCCAGCCAGCAAGATGCAATTCTTAGAAGTGCTGCTTTGTGTTGGTCTTCATTTGCACAATTCTAGTTTTTTTTTCACTAGTTAGAGCACTCTAGTTTGTTTTACCTGTTTAGCACTCTGCAAGTCTGCACTATAGTGAATTGTATTATTAAATGGGTTGCTTTATTTTCACAACACTAGCATTAGATTGTGTCTGCTGTATTCTAGACAGATTGAATCAGTCTCTATAATGGGGTACTGTCAGAAGATTTATTGTTAATTAATAAAATTTACTTACTGTTTACTTGGGATTCATGAATAAATAAATTGTGTTGATTTCTGCATTTACACGGGTTTCACGGGTTGTGTATCAAATTATTGGAAATGAATTTAGTACAACGATCTTTGAACTAAAATGTATATATGCGCATGTGGTTCACAATATACCAACATGAATTGCATTATTGAAATTTTCAAACATGAATCAAGACAGTACTGCTTTTAAACAGGGATAGGGGACTGTCTGTCTTTGTGTGTCTGTATGTATGTGTGCACATAAAAAGTGGGTGCATTGTTTCATGGAATATTAAGCGCGAGTGTGTTGAGACATGGTACTGTTGAAGCTTGATCATTTGTGTTTGGTGTCAGTAAAATAGACTCTTTAAAACAAATCCTTGAGTATTACTGTTAACTGTTAAGGGTTTGGGTGTAATTGTAGTAATGCTTTGTTAATTTGTCTTTAATAATAGCCCTACTACTCAGGCTGTGCTTGTATAACTAACTCACCTAACCTCATCACAATATGCCTGCTGATTTCCCAGACTCCCTTTAAGTAACAAAAAAATAAATAAAAAGCTTGAAACCATCATCACCATCACCTTCCTACTGACTTGTTTAAAAAATACGTTTCCTGACATCAACAGTAGCACCCTCCCTTAATACCTATAATGCTAATAATACTATTAAACAAGTAATTTGCACTGTTATGTGGATTTTTTCAGCTGCTACATACGGTAAGGCACCTCCACCTAGAAAGGCTCATATAGCATATCATCCGTATACACGCTGACAATGGGTGTCAGGCAATCAAGTTGCCAACATATATCAGGTAGGCATGCTGTTTCTCTATGATTTCTCCTTCTAATGCACTTACTTATATACAAATGCTTTTGGGTGTGCATGTATGTTCATTATTAAATATTGCTCTCAAGGATTTTTTGTTTTAATAACCATGCTTCAATGTTTGACCCTTGTTTGTGTAGCATGAGTCGTAAGGTTTACTTTCAACCGGTCTGCAAACTAGTTGTTTTGCATACAACATGTCATGTCTGTCAATCATGTGGTGTGTATTGTCGGGTGTTCTCCACGCCTCTTTGCTGTCCAGTTGGTTGTCACAAAACATTGATAAATCAATTGCAGACGTATAGGTCTGCGTCTTTCAGTGCATCTGCCGAAACTCGTCCTCCCAGCATCTGTTCCTGTCTTCCAATCTTTTTTAATTTCAACTCTATTCAGATGGGATTGCAAAGGTTGAAATGTAATATTGACTGAATTTCTTGAGCATAGCTGGGAAAGATCGAAAAAAACTAGTCGAAATTTAGGTGAAATCTTGTCAGCTAAAATGGTTGATTAACTCCAGAATTGCTTAGTTTTAGCACCTAATAGGGAAACACAATATGCATGAATGTATTGAGTATTTCTTTATAAGCTTCTTTTTTTGAAAAAAAACAACATCCAGTTGTATGTCTTGTATCTTAATTCCGTTTATAAGATTTATCCCAGCTATGCAGATTTTCAAAAATGTGTCCCTCTGATTGTACAGCCTGATTTTACTTCAAGAATAGCTTCAATTCAGATTTCCTCCCTTTTCAGTTAGCATAAAATGCAATGATATTTGCAATGCAAACAGTGATAGTGCAGGAATGCATTACTGATTCACTTGCTGGGTTTGTTTCACCAGGAAATTGTTATATTTATAACTTCGTGAAACTGCCCAAAATAATGTAAATTGAACAATTTTCTGTCATGTTTTATTTAGTATCTGTAATTCTACCTAAGATACTGTAAAAAGTTCAATTAATTATTTATTATTTTTATTTTGTAAAAATAATTATTAACGGAAATTTCTGTGGAAGCTATATCTTGTTGATAAAATCACTTGCTTTGTATAATGTCAAGCAAGGGCAGCACAAACTTAGGGAAGAGCGTTGTCTTGTTATTTTTCATCATTTTTAAAGTATAAATGATTGCTCACTGTGGGTTTTTGTTTTTGATATCTTCAGAGATTTTATGTTTTCATGTCAAAGCCAAGTAACCGTTGATTGTCCTTCCTTTTACGGCAGGCTGAAATCTCAGACACTTTTGTAAACCGGAATTAGGTGTTCTGCTTGTACGGATTGAGCAGAAATGTCCGGTAACCATGGTGACAGAACTGAAAGGTTGAAAATATGTCCATTTTGACGTTGCTTATCATAGGGTCTTAAGGATTCTTTTAGGTCAAATGAGGTTACTCACAGGAGATCTTTATTGTAGGGGTATTTGATTTGATTTGGGATTACTTAATTTAAATACTGGAACTACACAGGCATGCCGCCTGAAAGCCTAGTTTTTGCACTGCTGTTTTTGATTTAAATTCATCAATGATTGAAATTGTTTTTTGTGTTCCAATTATTCTAAAATCGATTTGAAGTTGAACATTGTTGTCAGCACTTGGTTCCTGTGTACCGCTATTACCTGAAATCAAATACTCGCTGAGTAAGATCTCCTGTGGTCGTCAACCCTGTCTTACATGTAAAAGTAAAGGGAAAAGGTTTCCTTCCACAAAATTCCTGAAATTATTGAGTTCAGTCGTCTTTCTGCTGTGAATTTGCTGTAAAACTACTTGAAAAATTAACCTTATTTTGGCAAAAGTAATGCTAATGACATGCACCCTCATCTTAGATGGCCAAGACAAGTAGATAAGGGAAGATAAAACAGCAGGTTTATTAAGGTATAACAGATTACATATAGGAGATAAAAAATAAAAACCGCCATAATTTACTCATTTTTTTTTTTTTTCTGATAAATGAAATGTTCTTCCATTTTGTAAAATTTTGACAGGTGTAGGTGCCGTTTACAGTGCTCTGTGTTACAATAGTGTTGTCTATGCTGGTTGTGTATTTAGTGGTTTATTACACAAGTTTTATTTTCCACACATCTGGCTACATTCACATGAACTCAAAGAGCACACATTGAAAGATTGATGTTGGCCATGCTCAGCTGTCTGTTTTGTCATGTTGCATTGGTATGCTACATAATGTTCCACTCACATGTACATTTACTAACGTGTTGTTACTCAAAGACCACACATTGAAAGTTTAATGTCGCCCAAGCTCTGCTGCGTCCTGTCCTGTCACAGTGCATTAATAGAAACCTTTCATTTGAAGTGCTGGAGAATTGAAAGTATCAATTGTTCGTAATAAACAAAAAAAAATGTTCTTCTGACCATCCATTCTTACAAAAGCACAGACCAATTTTACTGCTGCAAGTATGTTGACATTTCTGTGAGGGCACATAAGTTCTCTATTTTGTTGTACACGTGTCCCACACTTGGGGTAATACTGGTATTTCCATTTCACATATTCCATTGAACGATTGAACAAATTAGAAGGCCAAAGTTACTTAATATGATTATGATACGATTATGAATCAAGATTTTAATAAGTCTTCATGTGCTGTAGGCAGGAAGCTATTCTTCTTTCGTCTGTGTTGTGCGCACTTTATTAAAATTTCTATTTGGTTCATGTTCAGTCTGGAAAATGTAATTGAACATAGAAAGAGAGTTTCCAGCATTTTGTTTCAGAGAAGTGTAGAATGAGGTGAAGTTCTCCAGTGTTGATAATAAACTGAAGTTTACTTGGGCCTGTTTAGTGTTGAAGAAAGTATTTGCACACAAGCACTGCAACGTCACCTGGATGTAAAGATAGTGCAAGTTGGGAGAATTGTCTTTGTATTATTATTTTTATTTTAAATAAAATTATTTTCTTGGGGCTACTAACATTATAATGTTAAATAAGCATTTGTTGCACCTATATGACAACACGTCTACTAATGTTTTTGTCGGAGTTGGATTTTCTGATCAACACTCTTTTCTTTTTACTTGCAGGAAACTAGACTATCAGCTGACATGTCAGCCAGCATGTGCAGTATTTCAACATCTTGCGATGACAAGGAGACTGAGGGGAAAAAATTACAAAACAAACAAAAATAGGAATTTACTGTTAAAATTTTAATTTCTGGATATCACATTTTAAATCTATAATTTTTCATAGTTTTTTTTTGTTTAGTATTTGATGGGCAAACATTGGATTTCTTTATCATCATGCATTTTTAAAGAAAAAGTATGAAAACTCGTCAAAAAAAAAAAGTACAGAAGGGTAAAAATTGTGCTCTTGACAATCGTTTTTTCCTTTGCTCATTGATTGATCTTTTTTTTTCTCTTCTGACAAACACATGACAGCATGTTTACATGTATGTTTGTTGGCAATGAACTTTTACAGAGTTGAACTTTTGTTTTAAACATAAACAAAGATGGTGCAATGTTGTATGAGAATTCAATTAATAGTATACAAAAAGTAAAATGAAAGAAAATATATATTTTTCCTACAACTTAAGAAAAAAAAAGCGAAATAAACACGCTTGTATGGTTTTCTTTTTGTTGGTGGGTGGGTTGTGGAGTGGATGTTACTTAATCAATGGGATCCCCCAAAAGTGTGGTTGTCATGGAAACCGATCGTCTATGAAACATTCTGCATAATCTTAAATTTCCTCTTTGCTACCCCAACTCATTCAGTGTTTGGTACAAAGCAATATTCACCAAAATGTGCACAGCTATGTAGTAGTAGCGTTTATATAGCTTTCATTTTTAATTATTACTTCAAAGTGAAAAAAAAAAAAAATTCATATACAACACATGCTTGCTCTTTTCCATGCCTCAGTTTGATTGTTTATTTTTTAATCGTTTAATTTATTCATGTATTATTTCCCTTCATGATAGAAATCTTTGTTAAAACTTTACAAAGTAGAAGGTGTGTTATTCTTTGTATTGTATGTTATATATAATAGAATCGACAAAACTGCACTAACTTTCATAATATTAATCCGTTAACAGTAATAACAGTTCCATTTTGCATGTATGTATGTGCAGACTTTTCTATTAACTCAATGCATGATGGTAAGAACCTTTGACTTTTGACCTTTGATTGGGTCAATAAGTGCCAATATAATCATATCTTTCAAGTGCAGTATTCATAGTAGTTGTAGTAGTTTATTAAGGTGTTTGCTAGTTAAATCGCTGCCGGTCAATGTTTGCAGGCACTTATATTATAATTCATGTAAATAACTTTTTCCCATGTTTTTGTCAAGAAATCACATCTCAGTCCCTGTAAATGCTTTCACACCTTGTTGTCTTTCTTTTATTATTAATTAACATCGGTGACTTTTCAGCACACACTCACTTTGACTCTCTGGGACCTTATCATTACAACCCCCCCCCCCTCCCTGGCCTCAATATTCTTGCATATTATTTGACACCCCCCCCCCCATCTCTTCCGGTAATAGCACCAGGATCTTAACTGACTTTTTTCCTGCTTCTTCTGTTTGTGGCCGAGAAATTTCTTGATAACATGCTTTTGCTTTAGTAAAGGTTTGTTGCACTCATGAGTTTGTGATGGCTATCTTGCACATCAAGTTGTATTGTCTTTCGTAAACTGATGACAGATGTAACGGTGTAATCATAGATGTATACCAGAAGACCATGTTTTATTAGATCATGCAAACCTATTATAATTATTATAGTCGTAACTATATATTGTCGCAATCGTCTTGGGTTAGTGACATTTTCGCTTCATCTGTCATAAACTGTGATAATTGCTTTTGGTTTGTTATTCAATCCGAATGCATTTCATAGTTTTGGGTTTTCAAGTAATTGTTTTTCTAAATTGGCAGTACATCAATTCATGCAATTTGTTCAGACATCAGAAAAATCTGTCCAAAATGTGATGGGAGATTTCCCATGACTGTTGCCATGCAGATGAAAAACAGATAGAACTGCAACTCTATGACATGTTTTTGTTCATTTTGCTACCATGGTGATAATCAGTGTTTATTTTGGCATTTCTAAAAATAAAATTCAAATTGCTCAGTAATGGAATAAGTGATACATGATACTTGTACTGGTGGAAAGCGAGTGTGAATGTGTCCCAAATGCTGTGAAACAAGTTGTATTAAGCTGTGTACTCAAAACAAGCTTAATGCTGTATTCCATCTATTCACACTGGGTTTCTGGTATTAATCTCGCCAACAACATCGTGTCTGGTACTGATGACAGCTGTTGCACACCCATGTTAAAGTTGCATGTGTTATAATAGCAGTTTATAGATACAGACAATACAACATGCTTGCTGCTTTGTAGCCTATCGATAAAACTAAGTATATGAAGGACATGGCAATTGGTTGAATTGTATTCTCAGTTTTGGTTTTCATGCAAGCATCAAATTTCCAAGGGACGGATTGTGGCAGAATGTCGGTTTCGTGTATTTTGCAACTTAATATCGGATTACAAACATTAAGATTCATAGTTTTTTTTTTTAATTTTATATAAAAAGGAAAAAGTGAATGCTTTATTTTTTTTGATTAGTCAAATTGTGGTGAAAATGGAATTAATAATTTTTTTTTTTCTTATCTATGTGAATTGATCCACATCTTGGTCCAATTTTGTAACTTAAATATGAACACAAACTGTACGAACAATTTTATTGTTTTGTATTTTGCATCATGAGAGGGCGTCTAACTGTAATTTGTAACCATATATACAATTTAGTATAGGGTCTGTTTTTGGATACCTTGTTTGTCTGGCAACTTAAGTGTCCAGTTTGGTAATTGGCAGTTGTCATGTGATTTTAGAACTGTGGTAGAATACACTGAAGTATCTTTTTTGCTGCAAAATCTTTGTAAAATCGCAAGGAAACAAGTCAAATATGAGAAGAGGCATTTTGCCCCCTCAACTTTAAAACATTTAATCTGAATATGCAACTTTAAGTGGTTCGCTACCATTCAAAAAAAAAATCCACAGAATCTTTGAAGTCCAACAAGAATGGATGAATTTTACCCCCCATGTTTTAATGGTAGCCAACTACCTTAATGTACTGGTTTGAGCTGATTAATGAAAATTTCTTGTGACGTTTCTCTATGATGCAATGTGGGAAAACAATTCAATGTCATGTATGTTCGTATTTAAGATGATGAAAATAGACTATTTTCCGTTCACTGGGAGGTTATGCATGAAATCGAATCTGTGTTGCTATGACGTCGAAACGTTGTACGAGATTCTACAAATGTGACAATGTGCCATACACATTTGATGATGGTCAATTTTGCTGAAGTACATATCCGTACTATATTAGCCTCTGAGAGCTTGGCATTTGAAATCAAATCATTCGTTTTTCGCAGATGTGCCTCTGATGCATTATGTGAGATCTCGCAGTGAACAGAAAACCGCCTAATGTTAGTTCACCCATACATATGTATCAACATTCCAAGGTTGTATTTTGTGTAAATAGTATTTTATCTACATCATACTAGTACATGTTGCATAGAACCAATATCGAACACTCTCACCTTTACTCTCGGTTTAGTTCATACAGCGCTCATAAATTAATGAACCCAGTCTTAATCCATACAGGGAAAAGGGTACACTTAATGGGAAATGTCAGTTAAGATCCATGGCCTGCTTACTGAGCCTGACGAGTTGTTACACTATCATGGCTGTCATTCTGCATGGCCACTGCACCTCACAACATGAACCCTCTCCCCTGTCCTAAATATTAGAAATATGATGAAGAGAGTAAATGTTACATTGCATGTTCTTGCTGTGAAGAGAAATTCATGGGGGTGTAGCTTTGTCACAGAACATTACCCCCAGTACTTTGACATGTGGATGCCAGTACTTTGACATGTGGATGCCAGTACTTTGACATGTGGATGCCAGTCAGAGCTGGTGAAAATGGCTAAAATAGATAAAACAGTACAAACTCAAATTTGAGACAATCCTAAACAACCAAATTTAAGTCTTGACAAGCCCAAAGTACAGTTTTTCATTAGCTGTGGTTGCCAAGTGATGAAAATGCCTGAATGTTCACTCCTGAGAAAACTGGGCCCTGTGAAAGGAGTCTCATATTACCTTGCCAGAATCTCACCTCCAACACACTGAATTCCCTTTGGTAAATGTTTACTTTCATTACCAAGTGGAAAACATTCCCAAAATACAGTGTTGCTTGTATGCAGTTGAAGTGTGCAAAGAGAGCAGTACCAGAGTATACATAAGAGGTAAGGTGAATGTCTGAAGACTGATGGCAATGAGAAGTTTAAGAAAAAGCTTACCATTCAAACTGAATATGTAATCAATGATGATCTGAAATGTTCTTCCTATAGCTATGTGAGCAGTTTGCATCTCTTAAATTTGACTGTCTGGCGCCCTCAATTGGCATGGAGATGAGATCGACCATCAAAATTTTCAGTTGCACCTGAGCAAACTTGAAGTGCCAGTTGTTGTGCAACAATGACCAGGGATGGAAGTGGATGAAAGCTTAAATTTAAAGTACTACAATTTGCTATGTACAAAAATTGCAGCAGATAAACTCAAAGGAAGCCTAAAACTTGGGGTATTTGAAGCATGAAATGGATGTGGGAAATGTTCAGAATTAAATAATTAGAATTAGCCTATTGGATAAGACAGCTTTGCTATTTGAAATGCACAGAATAATACTAAATGTTGTATACGAAGAAAAAAAATTATGACAATCTGTATAAAACTCTTAAAGTCTATGTTGTATCCCAGGTTTGATCTAATTGGTTAAGTTTTTGAGAAGTTGACTAATTTTATGCAAATTAGGTAATTGACATGCGTAGATTTCACCCTGGACATGCAAAGTTTAACAAGTGATACTCTAAATGTCATGAAAATTGGCCAAGTATTAACTTGGGTAATTAATATTTATGGATTTAAACCCGATAATGTCTGGAAATTGTTCACAGTATCTATATATACCAATTTGGATTTGAATTTTATAGGTTCTTGACATGTCGGTGAATCAAACTGGATAACTGCCAAACCCCTCATGGGGTTAAAAACTGGTGTGTGTATTCACACTTGTTGCCATGGAAACAATTACCCCATTGTGTGAAGCCCTACTAAGATTGTCATAATACAATCAAGATCTATCCAAAATTTAGTTCAGATAGCGAGTTTTACACTTTGTCAACTGCCAGTTCTAAAAGGAGCATTAGCTGTTCTACAACAGCATTGTACAGGTCGTGTAGAATTGATACAAGGTTGTCCTTGGGAGTTTATGTATGGAAAGTCCATTAAAATTGGTATCCATAAATATGCAGTGAATTGTATAGCAATCTGTGAGAAGTATTAGTGATCAGAAATTGATTGCGTGATAAAACTTTTATTTGATATCACTGTTTAGACTGGCAGAGAAAGGGCAGTTCAGCATATAATGAACAACAGATTCTTTGTCGACTCCTTGATCGTATGGTTTCCTCAGAAATCTTATTCAATGAAAGGCTCATTAAATATATACAGTGTTCATCACAGCTTATTTGTCTGGCAGTAAAGTAGGAAGTTGCATTTATAAGACTTGAGGAACTGATTAACAATAGCTACAGAATGTTAATACATCTGTATATTGTCATGACATAGGACTTGCGCCCTCTATTGGCTGGGTTCTCTGCTGCCTTTGTTTATGGGGTGATACAACTATAACTGGACACAAAGCTGTACATTTACCAACACAGAATGCAAACATCAAATCCAAAGTTTATTTGGTATAAATAGTTTCACATTGTGAGCTGGGAGGGGGTGGTCATGTGTTTGAATGAACAGCATCTTGAACACTATGCAGGTAAGAACAAAATGGAGGGGAGTACTTGGACATGTACAGTTGTGAGGTCTTTTTAATGGTACAAGGATGTAGAAACTAGGCCCTGGAAAAATAAAATACTGTCTTTGGTCTTCATGTATCCAGTGAAAATTGACAAACTTAAAATATGTTGGTCCATGTAAAAATTTACATACACCGAATTTCTGGCTCTCATGACAGGTCCTGAAAAAGCAGCTTTTAATTGGGGGGGGGAGGGGGATCTGTGGTCCTTAAATGAAAGTTGTCTCTAACATTCTGTGAAAATACCACGCCCATAGACACTACATTTTTTTTTTTTTTTACATTATTGACTGTTCAAATTGAAGACTAATTCTCAGTTTTATTTTCTGCAAAATTATGTTTGAATCTTTTGCCATGTCAAGTAATGTGCATGATATACCTGGTAATAAATGTGAAATTGCTGCATATACAAGTTAGCCATGTCTGGAGTGGCCTGCCAATAGCAGAAAAGATTCAGTTGTGAACAAGTTCTCGGCATCTTTGGATGTAGTCAAGTCACTAAATTGCACATGGGTAGCTTTGTTCAAAAATAACAGTATTCACAAAAATCAATATTCGATGTGAAGCATTTTGCAAATTAAGAGTAGTCAATATGCACGCCAAACTCTGAGGTGGTTTCCTGTATCGCCATTATGTTTCTTCCTTTTAAATTGATAAAACTACTGTTTGCAAATGATATTGACTGCATTCAGGCGAATTTACTACCTCCTAGGTTGGTTGCATCATGCCGAGTTACTCTGTATTGAAAGGGCTTTTTACAGAATTTTGCTGACAATACGACTTTAACACATTCAAGATAGTCTTTCCTATAATTTAAAGTTGTCTTTACAGATATACAAAATTACTGTCAATCTGAATATTATGATTATGAAAGTTCACGTATACATAGAATTATGCAAGGATTCCACTCGTGCTTCTTTTTCTTTTGATTTTTCCTGTAAAAAAAAAATGTAACGTGCATGAGCCATAAAAACAACAGTATTTATTTAATTGCATAGAGAGGGCGTAGTTGTAAAAATAACTTCCATGGAGATGAATGTAATAATTAATTTGTATGATGGAAACTATAATTTTAAAAAGAATTTATAAAATATGCAGGTGACAAATTAATCAAATTGGCCTGCATGTCTGGGAAATTAAAATAAAACCAACATGACTGCCAGTTGCCTCTTTTTGAATAAAACATTTTGTGATTTTAAATTGCTAAATTTCAACAAAATAACCAAAGAGAACATGAAATTCTCTTGATTTTAGCAAAATCTGTGAATGTGTATCTGAGAAATGGGTAGAGAACATTTGTAAGAAAAATATGGCCACCAATTGGCCACCATTAGTGATATAATTATCAAGAATGAATGAAATTGGCCCTGGCATGCCTAAGAAACATTTGAAAACATGTTATTGTTCCTGAGACAAAAGTCTCACATTAACGTTCAAAATAAAGAAAAGTAGCCACACGATGTATGAACAAAATTGGGTACGGCATGTCTAAGAAAAGTTGGGTCAAAGGACAGATGCACATGACCCATTTTGGACAACACTTGATGGGTACTATTATCACATTCCCCCTTTGAATAATTAATAATTCATACTTTTTGCTTGCGATATTCTTCATAGTCGGGGTCATCAGTCAATAGTTCATGTCTACAAACTGGACAAGAGTTTGTCTGGAGTAAAAAAAAAATGTGTTTCAGTCAGATATAGTCTACAGCAAATTCTATGGTTTTATCACTAGAGGGCGCTATTCACCCATCAGCCTACCAAAGATCAGAATTGGACTTGAACAAAATCATATATTAAGTCACAGTCCCTCTATTCCCGGTCTAGAAACTGTCATTGTATTATGTGTGAATTGGTCTCCTTCTCTGGCAAAGGCGCATTGCGGGTGTGGGCAAGGCATTGTCACGTGATTTGACATCGTCAGTGTTATGTATTTTTTTACAACTTAGTTGTTTATTCCAGAATTCGTACTTTTTCATATAATTTTTTAATCAGGATATCTGTACAAGGTCATATTTTAGCCGGCGAGTAGTTCTTTAATTCATCTATTTTACCACCAGCGACACATTTTCGCAACAAATTTTCGTACCTTTACCCAGATATTTGTCGTTTTTGATTTTGGGGTGATTGAAATTAAGTCAATTTTATTTACCATACTTCTCGGCGCGAAACCAATGTTTGTCTTTGATTTTGACATTTTATGATCGAAACATATCATTAAAAATTGGTGGGCTGATTTGTTATTTGTCACACCGCATTTTATTAATGTTAAATTGAGATTTGTTTAGCAATGTCAGCATGTTGACACGCGAAGTTTTTTCCCCTATTAAAACGGGGAAAATGAACATAATTCCCGATATTAATCTTTGAATTGCAGGAACTGGATGTTTATGAGTTGGTAGGCTGATTGTGATGCGTATCTGGGTTCAAAAATCCCAAATTTCATAGTGATAATTTTGTTTACATGTTTGTTTACGTTGTGGTTGCCCGAATTTGAAGTCAAAGTGAAGTCATACAATGAGGTATCGCTTTGCATGACGGTAACTTTTGAAGGTATTGTAATCTGTCTGACTTCCTCGGCCCGCGTGTGAACTGTTTGTTTACCCGCACTGCGGTTCAAGACAAAAGAACGCTAGTCGTTTCCAGTTTTGTTGATAATGAAGTACCCCGGTAGACTCGGAGTAAAAGAAACTTAATTGGATGACTGATCAAATGTTATTGCATGCCTTCACTTTCATGGGCTTCTGCAATCTGATTAAAATTTGACAAAAGTAACTCTGTAACCATATGTTTGCATTTTGCATTTAGCAATAATATAATGATTGCAAACTTAAACCTTAAAGTGGGAGAGTCTTCACCTGCACATGCATCAGATAGCTATTGCGTGAGCGTTTTTAGCATGTGATATCATCACTTGGGACTCAATTTCCGTGCGTGCGCAGACGACTACCTTCCCGCTTTAAGCGACCAAGATATGATATGAAAAATAATAATGGCTAGTGAAACAAAACAATAGTCATAAGCAAAATTTTTGAAACTACAATAGCATTCTTTTTTTTCTCTGATTTTTATTTAAAAAAAAACATTTCCTGTGTCATTAGTGTCACTTTGTAATGGCCATTGCAAGCATACCATATTTGCTATATATATCGCTGTTGAACAGTAAATCACTTGCAATCGAAAATCTGTTGTGGAGTTGCCTCCAGAGGGCACCATCTATTGAAATTCTGTCGAGTGAACCTCTTGGTTTATGGTAAAAGATGACAAATTACGGAGAGTCCTGGGTGAGATGACAAATATGTTGCCATATTGAGAGGCTAAGCCTCTAACGGCTTCCCACCAATAATTTATGTGTCCATTCCTATATTAATGTGCATCATAATTTTATATAGTCGTGAACGAGAACAGAATGGCGACTACTCAACACTTATTTTTAACATAGCATTTTTTGTGATATTGGCCAAGCAGTTGTGTCAATAACGATGTTTTGATAAGAGTTGGTCTTTCTTATGTGATTATATACAATACAAATTCCTAGAGCCTGTGCTGGATTGCACTGAGAAGTAAAATCCATAGATCTGATTGGAGGCACCTCTAAAGCATGCGCTCAATTAACATAATGTTGTTATCGAATAAATAATTTCCGATGATGCAATTTTTAGTATTTTCAAAATAATATTTTGTTTGAAATGCTTTTTTGCCACTGTGATAGTGACATAAATTGACATAGCCAAATGTCAAAATAATTTGTCATTTGTGAAAGGTTGCCAGAAACCAAGGCTTACCAAGACAAATACTTTATTTTATCTGGCATTAATTTTCGCTATTAAAACTTTTTGGGTATTTTGTATGGACTTTATTTTCACTGATTTTTGACGAGTTGAGTGTAAAATATAGAAAAATGAGAATATTTGCTGGATTTTATTTTCACTGAATCATTCCTTCAGCAAAGATAAATTCCTTCAGCAAAAATATTAAAAGTATTTCATAATAGTCCTGATGCATTCAAGAGATAAGATGCAACATGTCTGTGTCTTAACATACCTTTTTTAACCATGGCAATATACATCCTGAATGAAACTGGTGTTGACATGGCAACTGTTTGGCTTTTTCATGAATATCAAACTCTAATAAACAAACTGGACACTTTTTACCCATCTCTGAAAGAAAAAAATTAAAGAAATCTTAGAAAGAACTCACCAAAGATTTAAAATTAGGATTCGGGTATCCTTCTGGAAGAACCTCAAATATTGTTTTGACCAAGTTGAATTTTGTTATACTAGTATTGAATATGCAAATTAGATGAATAAATTAAATGTTAACGAACACAAAACATGCAAGTTTAATTAATATACTGTAAAAGGCAGGGGGGGATTGGCACGAGAGGGCGCCATCCGATCTGAATGGAACGTTTCGACGTCAGTCGCCCGTAGCCCATCGTCAAAGCAACAACGTCTCGTTTACGAACAGATGAAATAATTTCAGCAATTTCTTTACAGATTAATCCTCAACAAAACTTAGAAACATTTCATAGACGAATACTGGCTCCAAAATTATGTCTATTGCAAAACAATTCAACCGACAACCAGTTTGACGCCACAATTGTATTGCTGGAGCCCGAGTTCTACGCGTGATTTTATTGCGTTCAAATATGTTCCATTTCAAACTGCGCATGCTCACACACTGTGGTTTCTCGAAATGCATACTAATTAGGTAACTTGTCACTGATAAAAGTCACCGAAAACATTTTGAGCAATTTTGAGCAATAGTAATAGAGTGAAATATAAACGTGCCTCTGCATTCTTCATGAATTTCGTAACTTGCTAAGATCATGGTAATGAGAAAACCTGTGCTTACTTTCAACATTTAGCTGCAGTCTGATCGAAAACGTGTCTCAAAAAATACTTTAACATTATTTTTCCGATTATTTTTTCAGCTCGTATCGATAGTATCAGTCAATTTAGAACTAACATGTATGCTATCGGAAAGCATTTTGGCACAATTTTACTGAAAAGACGAGTTTTTTATTGCTCATGAATATTAATTTATGCAAAAGAGATGATTATTTCAACCAATCGAATCATGCAACTCCCCCCCCCCCCCTGGTAAAAGGGTTAATTATTCACTGGGTTTTAATTTTGCTTATTTCGCTGACAGGAAAATGCGCTAAATTAAAACCCAGTGAATATGTAAAATTTAGCATAGAACACATTATCTATATTACAAAACTTTCAATTTAAAATCCACTAAATATACCTGAAATGGTAAATCAGCGAAATTTAAACCCAGTGAAAAATTGTCATTTTACAGTAAATTTTAAAATGCTTCCAAACATTAATCTGTCAAGTCAATATAAAAGTATATTGGGCTGCCAGAATAAAAGTTAAGTGGCTGCACATTCCTAACAGTGGCAATTAAATGAGAAAAGATCGTAGAGAACCAAATTGGTGGGAAATTATGCAGCAACAGTGTGTAGTAAAACGGCCAAAACATTGATGAGAGAACCTGATTAGTCACCATGATTGTGTCTTAAATACCTGTGAAGGATGAACAAAGACTACTGAAGAATCACTTTGAGCTTGATTGGGAGTAGTTAGAATGATCCCAAAAAAATGCAAAATTCCCTACATACCAACTGTTGTATACTGAGATTTGATAGGTAGATTATGTGGAGGAATTAAAATAGTACTAAGAGTACCAAGCAAAATTATATTGGGACTGACAGAGTGGATACAGAACTATAGTTTTACAAGACAGCATTAAAATCTTATAAAGTTACAGAGCAATGATGTGGGTTATTGAACAAACAGTGTTTGTTGTCACAGTGTATGTGTGTTGCGTAACTCATTTTGTAATGAAGGAGAGTGACCAGTAGAAATTGCAACTGATTCATGTACAAAACTTGGTAAAATAATGCTTTCAATCACCTGCTTTATTGCTCATTCAATAGTGACCATGCATTCACACAACTCATCAATCTGAAAATCGAATCGAGGGTGATTCTGCTGAAATTTAGCATTTTTAAATAGTAAGGGGAATGTTGTGATCTTCACTTGAGTCGTCATGTGAGACAAACAAACTAGTTCAGAAAAACAGTCCTCTCCCAGTATATGGGTATTGTTAAGAATAAAGAAACTAGTAAACAGGTACTGTTTGGAACTAAGAAAGAGTACTTTCCTAGTAAATGCTGAACAAAAAACTTCTATTGAAGGTTAGTAGACTGTTAAAACAATAGTGACGAATCAAAATGTAGTATTTAATAATACATAGTTTGGTATACTTCGTACCCGATAACTTTTTTCAAAAAGACCCCAGCTATTAACCTTTTTCACCACCACAATTTGTCACTCAAAATCTTCGGCACTTTTTTTCTAAATCTTAAATATTTCTGGGAATAAACCCTAATTTTGGAGCTAACAAACAAAATTTGAGTCACTATTCAGTTTTTACCCAAAAACTTTGGCTAATTTTGTCCCAATCTTCTGAAGGAAAATGCAAACTATAAATGGGACTATTTTGTACATTTGTGATGGAAAGAGGGAATTGGTGGTGAAATTCAAAAGGTCACAATTGCCATTTATCATAGGAATATTTGTTAGGTGGAGCCGTGAATAAAGCAATCTTTTGGACTGTACGATAGTCTTGCGTGATATTAACATCCATCGCCCAATAAGCTAATGTCAGATTCAAGGTTGGTAATTATATTCAGACTCATGACAATATTGATTGACTCTTCAGTTATACTTACGGACTTGTTTAGCAGATATTTCTATAGATGGTAGAGCTTGTACAACGGCTATTGACGCTGGCGGTGCTCTCCTCTCACCAGGTAGAGTAAATCTGTGTAAAGGCAATGTTACATTACAAAAGCTATTTTGTTTGATCCAAAAATTACTGCTACTGTATAGACATTATTTATTCACTGCGTTTTAATTGCGCTGTTTTCGCTGATAAGTAAAATTCGCGAAATTAAAATCCATGTAAAATAACAATAAAACTCATTGCCAAATTTGTGAAATTTAAAAACCTAATGAAAAGGCTCAAACATCAAAATCATCAAAAAATAAATGATTTTACAATGCGATATGTTTGAGGGAACGTGATGTAGATCCGTCTTTGAGAATAAGTTACACAAATCATGAATCACAGTTTAGTGATGGACATTACAATTTACCAATATGTATAGTACTCACCCATCAAAATCTAAATCCAAATCAAAGTCCAGCATGTCACTATTTTCAACCAACATTCTGCAAGAGATGCATTAAATCATTTGAGCCAATTGTTTGTACCACAGTTCCTCACGGGACTATGTTTGTATATACCTATGATTTCAGCATGGTATGTCGTATTAATAATAAAGATAATTTATTGCATCCTTAGAAATACAGTGTTTCCATCAGTTTATAGCAACAAAAGTAAGATATTAAAAAAAACAAAATAACTATTATATTATATTATATTTCAGTGGGTAGAAATGCGTTTTAAGCTGATGTTGGTCAAAATTAGTGAAATTCACACTCTGTGTATAGACCTCAGCACATGGATGAATCTGATACTAACTGGTAGCTGGAGGACATTTTTTAAATGTAAAAACGCTTGGAATTAATTTTCACTATTTTCGCTGAAGGAATGAATCAGTGAAAATAAAATCCAGCGAATATACCTTTTTTCCTATATTTTACATTCAACTCGTCAAAAATCAGTGAAAATAAATTCCATACAAAACACCCAAAAAATCTTTTCAGAGAAAAAAAATTCTATCTCAAATAAAGTATTTTACAGTACTACCACGACTTTAAAAACAATCTTTTTTTAGCTCCAAAAAGATTGTTTTTTAGCTCCATGATTATAAAAACAATAACTGGTCCTAACGGTGAAAAATGCAGGTATTCGGGGTCTATTGTCAGACATGGTGCCTACATTGGTGTTATGATTGCCTTCATTTTTGAATCAGAATGTGGTGTTAATGAAGCCCCACTACAAAGCTGACACAGCAGTTGTGTTGTGAAAGAAGAAGGAAATGTTGCTGTTTATGTATGTTTATTTTTGTCTTTATTTTTTTTATTTATTTATTAACACTTACTCACTCCCCGGAGAGAGTGGCAATGGTTACAGATTAATAGTAAAAGAATACAGTATTAATAAGGAAGTAATAAAAAAAATAAACTAATCTACAAAAACAGAATATTAATGGGAAAATAAATAATAAAAACAACTCCTTCAATTAATCCAAAATTTGTTGTCTAATTTCAAAGCACTTGTTGATATACTGTGCTACCTGGATGACAATACTATCATTATTTAACAGTGCAGTGAACTGTTCTACAGGAGGCAGGTTGTGAAAGGAGTCAATCACATCAGTCGCTGTATTAAACAGAACACAGAGTCTATTCCTGTATTTGGGACATTCCACCATAAAATGAAATTCATTTTCAATGGTATCTTGGTTACACATGTAACAAACCCTGTTATTGAGTGGAGTACAATTGTGTCTGCCAGTCTCAATCTTGAGGGCATGGTCACTCAGACGGAACTTAGCCAGACTAGTTTTCAAATCAATGTTTTTGATATTGATGAGATATGATTCCATACTGATATTGAATTAAATGTTCTGTAAGTTCTGAGTTTGTTTTTTCCCCTCAAACTTTTCACGAATATCACTATGGATTTCTTTCCAATGGGATGTAAATTTATGTTTGAGGTTGGACTTGATGATATTTATGTCTGTTGAAGTTAATTTATCACTTTTATTAATTAAACATTCCTGTTTAATATTCTTCAGCAAGTCTGTAATTTCCAAATACCACTTAGTTTTTAGGCTTTTATTAACTGAAAAAGCTTCTTAATGCGGTTGTAATATTTTATTAATTGATTTTTAATAAATATATCCAAAGGGTATCTTCCTAACTCGCTGTAAATTCCTATAATTGGGGTTCTTTGTGAAACTTGAAGGAGATATCGACAGTATTGAACATTAATGTCCTCAACTGGTGATTTGGATGAGAACTCGTCATGCCACACATCACTACCATAAACAAGTATCGGTCGTATTAGTTTGTCAAAAAGCGATAGTGACAAGGTGATGGACAAATTGTGTATTGTGCCTAATTTAGTTTTGAGAGAAAACAGTGCTTTTTGAGCCTTTCTCTTAAGGTGCTTTAGAGCTTCCTTAAATTTTCCATTTGCACTGATTATTAAGCCAAGATAATTGAATGTTTTGACTGTCACAATGTCACTGCCCCTAGAAAGAAAGTGTCACTGTTTAGACATCTGTTTGATTTGTTAAAAACTAATACTTTTGTTTTTTCTGGGTTTACAGTTAATTGTCATTTATTAACATATTCTGACAAGTTATCCAGACCAGATTGTAGTCCATGCTTTGTTCTAGAGAGAAGGACAAAGTCATCTGCATAAAGTAGGCAGTTGACAGGCGAATTTTCAAGCATTGGAGCATCACAATCAGAATTGAAACTGTTGAGAAGGTCATTCAGAAAAAGGTTAAAAAGAATTGGACTGAGATTACAGCCTTGTTTAACACCAATATTGGAGTTAAATGGTTCTGTTAGTCCTTCTTTACATTTAACTTTATACTTAATTTTACTATACATGTTTTTAATAATTTTATACATGTGGTCAGTAATACCATTATTAAGAAGTTTAGGAAAAAGGCCATTATGCCAAACACTATCAAAGGCCTTTCGAAGATCAATAAAGCAGGCATACAATTTATTGCCCTTTTTATTGTTATGGTAAATATATTTGTTGATAAGTGTTTTTAAGATGAAAATGTTGTCTGTCGTCCTACATTCACATCTAAATCCAAATTGGTTATTTGAAAGAATGTTTTTTTGTTCTAAGAAAGAAGTCAACCTATTATTCAGAATACTATTGAATAATTTTCCCAGACAGCTAGAGATAGCTATTCCCCTGTAATTTGACGGGGAGGACTTAGATCCTGATTTGTGTATGGGTACTAGAAGGCTCGTACTCCAAGACTGAGGAGGGAGGTGTGGCTGCAGACAGGCCACGAGAGAAAGGGTCCACGACAGCGCGGTCCACGAGAGAGCGATTGATGGCGTGATCATCACGTGGTTATCACCTGACTTAACATGACGTTGCTGTAGTGTTGAATTCAAGGTTCTACTCGTGTTTTTGTTGGGAAAATACTTATACACTGCGTTTGTAACTACGTTTTAAAAACTGAATTACGGGTCGTTCTTTACTGAAAAATCGACACAGCAGGACTAACGCGAGCAGTCGAGCTAGTAGTACGACCAGAGCTAGACTGGCAGAGTAGGGGCGATTAATTAGTTTTTGTAGTCTTAACTAAAATAAAAAAAATCGCGAAATGGAGGTGTTCCCCTGAAACTGCGATTTCGCGCTAACACCTTCATTTTGCGATTTTTTTTATTTTCATTTCGCGATTTATTTTTTTTTATTCAAATTACAAAAACAAAGTAATCGCCCCGACTGCGCCAGTCTAGACCAGGGCGTGCAATTGCTTGAAACTACAACCGGGAGCTAGCAATGATAAAGGCCTCCAATTTTTTTTTTTTTTATTAATGATGAAACGTTACAAGATACATGATCGTTATTTAACAATAAATAAATAATTCTACCACATTCATTTTCTAAACTTTGATTTGGATCCACAAAACAACAAAAGAGCTAGTAAATTGTTTGTATCTTTGCCAATTCCTA